TTAACAGCCTGGAGAACCAGGGTGACAGACTCCCTATGTTGAAAATGCTGCTGTTAAAAGCCAGGTCAGTAAATGCCACCCAGGACTTGATTCTGGTTGAGCATGCTAACCTGGTCTGACGTGGGTGGATGAAACGTGGGAGGAGACAGGACAAAATAGATATTCTGTTGGTGTCCCGCCCACCCAGCTGCTCAAGAGTCTCCCTTGCTGAGCTATTTGGGATGGTCTTGTGGTTGATGTTGAAGTCTCAGAAGCTACTAGTGCTAGGAGACTTCAACATCCAAACTGAGACTGCCCTGTCGAGAGTGGCTCAGGCCTTCATGGCCTCCATGATAACCATGGGTCTGTCATAAGTGGTGTCTGGTCCTACTCACAATCCTAAGCACACTTTGGACCTAGTTTTCTGTGCAAGATGGGTAGTGGCATGGAGGAAGCTGCCACAGTTCTGTTGTCATGGACCGATCACTATCTGGTCAGGTTTAAATTCACTGGGCTTCAAACCTCCACAGGGGTGGGAGACTAATTAAGATGGTCTGCTCCAGGAGGCTTATGGATCTGGATGGATTCCTGGCAGCTCTTGGGGATTTTCCTGTCACCTTGGCAGGGAATTTTGTTGAAACTGACCTCTGGAATAGGGAAATGGCCAGGGTGGTGGACACCATCACTCCTGAGCATCCCCTCTCGTGGAGCAAAGCCAAACCTTGGTTTTCCAAGGAGTTGGCAGTTTTCCACAGAGTTGGTGATGACTCAAGTGAGACAGACTACAACGATATTGATGGAAAATTCAAAGCAAGCATAGACTAGAAAGCCTATTACATAGCAATGGATGCAGCAGAGAAATGGTTTATTGGTGCCACTGTTACATCTACAACAAACTGTCCAGTTTTGAGTGGTCAAAAAAGCTGTTACATACTGGTCCTCAAACAGCTCACTGCGAAGAATTTGCTAGGCATTTTGCAGATTAAGTTGCTCAGATCCATTCTGACTTGGATGCTGTTATTGATACAGTTCCAATGAATGGATGTGCCTCCTGCTTGTCCACTGTTGATGGATAACTTTCAGTTTGAGCAGGACAGGATCCTTAGAGAGGTGAGAGCTACCACATGTATTCTAGATCTTTGCCCTTCCTAGCTGATCAAACAGGCCAGAGGGGGACTGGTAGAATGAGTCAAGATGGTGGTTAATTCCCCCTTGGAAACATGCAGATTTTCAGCTTGCCTAAAGGAGGCAGTTATGAGACCTATCTTTAAAAAGCCATCCCTGAATTCCTCCATAATGGATAACTATCAGCCAGTGTCTAACCATCCTTTTTTGAACAAGGTTTTAGAGTGTGTCATGGCCTCCAAAATCCAGGGGTTTCTGGATGAAACAGATTATCTAGATCCATTTCAATCTGGTTTCAGGCCTGGCTATGGAATAGAGACAGCTTTGTTTGCCTTGGTGGATGAACTATGAGCTGGACAGGTAGTGTGTGCCTCTGTTGGTTTTCCTGGACCTCTCGGTAGCTTTCAGTACCATTGACCATGGTATCCTTCTGGTTTGTCTCACTGGGATGGGACTGAAAAGCACTGATCCTTCCTGGAGGACTATAATCAGAAGATGATGCCGAGGTATTCTTGTTTGAACCTCCGGTTGTTCAGGGTTCTTCAGGGTTCTGTTTTGTCACCCATTCTGTTTAACATATACATCAATGGTTCTTAACCTGTGAACCATGAACCATCTATGGGCAACAATGATAAAAATCTGGTCCACAAGCCTCCTTCCTCTTTATTTAATTATTTTATTTTCTACTCATTTTGCAGTGCCTGCCACTCCTTCCCTGTCTCCTGGTATATGTTCTTTATCAGAGAGTAGAGCTCATATGGACTATCCAATACAATTTTCTGAATCAGCACTCCAAACTGAATCTAAAGTTGATCAAAAACCGATTTGTAACCCTTTTGGTACTAATGTTGGAGAGTGGCCCCTGGTCAAAGTGGCCACTGGTCAAGTGGTCCTTGGTCAAGTGGTTCCTGCTCAAAAAAAGGTTGGGAATCACCGATATACATGAAACCACAGTGATGTGAGATCATCAATGTGGGGGGAAACCGTTTGTATTGTTGCTTTCCTTTTTCTTCCTCCCCCCCCCCTTTTTTTTTTTTTGCTTTCTCCTTGCAGAAAAATATTCTTTCAAAGGAAGAAATGGAAAACCATTCTACAGTCATTCAACAGAATGACTTCATTCTGTTGCCATTTTCTAATACTAGCGAACTACAGATTTTACATTCTGTGGTGTTTCTGTACATTTACTCTACTTAACAAATTTTAGTCTCCAACGTCTGTACATGCATTTTTCTCATTCAGGAAATAAAAACAAACTATTGCATCATTGCATCATTAGGTCTTCCACTTTCTCTCACTTAAATTAAACCTTTGGGAATAGTGAGAATGATGCAAAGACCTTTTGAAATATATTTCCTTTTCTGTGATGTCCTGTGGTCCTTCAAACTTCCACCAACACTGGAGTATAAATGTAGAAGTATTTTCTCTATGTACTCAACTTCTTTTGTGAATGAGATCTCATCTGAAAGAAAGAGAGCAGGGGTGAGTTTTTTTATTTATATTTGAGTCTGTAAGTGGCTTTGTGCTGTTTGATGTTTTTGTAGTACAGCACTATGGAGCTTCCTCAAAGAAAGAGGTAGGGTTGATAACTGAATGTTTGATTTCTCATTAATGAGGAAGAAGTTTAAGAATATTAACTGAGATAATTTATCACTTATCCATTAAAAATCACTTTACTATAGCAGCATAAAAGCACTTTACTATAGCAGCAACATAAAACCTTATTTGTTTAGCAAAGGAATTATAATTCACTTTACATTAAGACGCATAAATATTTTCAAGGATTCGAAAATAATGACATTAGAGAAATAATGGAATTGATGAATACATATCTATGAGGTCATTAGCTATAAAAAGAATATTAGAAAAACCTTAATCTTTCACATTATTGCCTTTTTCATATCTTCCCAAGTGTAGTACTCTATTCTGATGCACAGAGGTATAATTTCTATGATATCCATTAAAAAATTAATATTAGCATTCTTAGTACCTTTCTGTTTCACATTCAACAGTTAAAATTCATATTTCTGTGGGTGAACACAACATGAAACACCTACTGAGAAAGGATAATCTCTGTTGTCCAAACTATAATCAAGACCCCTTGCTCTTATATAATAGAGAGAGCAAAGTTACACCACACAAATAGCCAGACAACACTAGCAGAATGGGTTGTGCCAAAAACAAATTGGAAGAGGATTTCAGGGGTTCTCATAGCAAAAGAGGCATGCATTTAATAGACTGAATAGATAATTCAAAAGTTGTCTATTAGCATATACCTCATTAAAGCCAACACATGAAATAAAATGAATAAATATATGTTGCAGTATTCAATACAGGAAACCAAATTTGGTTACATGTTTGTAAAATAATGTTTTTTCTATAATAATACAGCTAGGTATAAAACACTCAGGAATGAGGCTGGGAGTGTATCTCAAGTCTTGCCAAAAGTTTCAGTATAATATTCATTCAGGTGTTCTTCGTGTGTATGAAGGCTGTTCTAAGTTCAATAACATCATACTAATTGACTACTGAACTCAAGAACCATGGAGTAAAATCCACATCTGCATTAGGGGTGGGAGGCAGAGTTCAAGCAAGCAATTTCCATTCAGTTACTCAAAAGAATCATAACATTCTGAGTGAAAGAAATGTCCAGCAGAGCAAAACATAGATGTAAAGAAATAAAAGCTCTGTTAATTGCCTGACTATAAAAGTAACTTTTTTTAAAATATTGCTAAGACAATAGTTTTTATGTTAAACCACAAAATAAAGAACTAGAATAAAAAAAACTATGAAAACTGATAAAGAGTTGTTGAACCATGGAACAAAAACCAATTTAGCGGTCATTAAGTGCTTTAATAACTCCTCATTAGGCAATGCAACACAGAATAATCCTTCTTCTGGAGAGCCACTAATGTTGGCAATACAAATCTGACTAGGCATTAGGAACGGTTTTGTTGTGATGTAAATGTTATTCAAATGGGATGTATATTGGTTGCAAAAGCAATCAACTTTTTAGGTCGTTAGGTTCATCTAAGTATAGAAATTCCAGTGAGAAGAAGTAAACGGTTCAAGTTGTAGAATGCATTCACTTTAAAATGAAATCTAAACCTCAAACACTAAGGTCTTTATCTGACTTTGCTCTGGTGGTTAAGAATGAAATTCATATTTTGCTGACTGTGGATAAAGGTCTACTTGGCTTTAACAGGTACTGGAAGACTCCTATACTACATATAGAGCAGCAGTTCTAAAACTTTTTGGTCATAGGACCCTTTGTGATGGGTGATGGATAACAAGGTATCCAAGCACTGCCCAAAGAGGTGGGTCTTCAGTAGTTAAACGATACAATGCTTCCATGCCTGATCTAAGAACAACCAGCATAGTAATATCCACACTGATTTCATTCTGAGCATTGTAGCAACTGCATCAAATGTGATCCCACTCATCCGCCTACACACTTGAAGAGAAAAAGGGTAAAATATATTGTAATATTTTCTTTCATAATGTTAGGAAAAGAAGAAACCTCTTCTAGGGCATGAGGAAATTCAATTTCTTTAAAGTAAAAGACACAGTTTTTCCTTAACCACTGTACTAAATCAAACAACCTTTCATATTCTTCTTCTCCTTGCAAGATATGTTTCAGTGAAAAGAGATTGCAACCAGTTTAACATGCAAACAAACCCAAAGGGAATATCTCTAGTGTTCTGCAATGAGTTTCTTCCCATGGCTAAAAACCTCTGTCTAATTGTCCTTTTCAAGGCAGAAACATTTGAAAAAAATATCAGTTTTTTTCTTACTGATATGGAGTCACAATTCAGGGTAATTTTTTGTCGTTGCTCTTTTTTTTTACATTACATTTATTTACCTTTCTCTTTGCAGAGACACATTCCCCTAAGAAAGAAATGGAAAACCAATCTACAGTGAATGAGTTCATTCTCTTGAGATTTTTTGATACCAGAGAGCTACAGATTTTACATTTTGGGGTGTTTTTGACCATTTATTTGGTGGCTTTGATGGGAAATATATTCATTATCCTAACTATAACTTATGATCATCACCTGCACAACCCCATGTATTTCTTTCTGGTTAATTTATCTTTGGTAGATCTTTGCTTGATCTCTGTAACTGTTCCTAAATCCATGGCTATCTCATTGACCAATGACAGAAGAATTACCTTCTCTGGATGTGCTTTCCAAGTGTTCCTAGTAACCACATCTGTAGGGGCTGAGCTTTCATTTCTTACTGTCATGGCATATGACCGCTATGTGGCTATCTGCCTCCCTTTACAATATATGAGAATTATGAATTTGAATTTCTGTCTCCAAATAACTGCTGCCTCTTGGGTCATTGTTATAGTGCATGCACTAGTGCAGACTATAAGCACATTCAGGTTACACTTTTGTACTTCAAATGTTAAACAATTTTTCTGTGATATGTCCCAATTATGGAGGATTTCATGCACAGATACAACACTGAATAAGTGGCTTACTTTTGCTATTGCAGTAACAGTGGACTCGTTTTGTTTTTTCCTTATAATGATATCTTATGGGTTTATCTTCTCAACAGTATTCAAGATTCAATCATCCCAGGGCAGGCGTAAAGTTTTCTATACCTGTACTCCACACTTGACTGTCTTCTCTTTATTTCTTTCAACTGCTATATTTTCATACTTTAGACAACAGGACTTGTCCTCAACTCCTGTAGATTTGTTGGCTGCTTTCTTATATGCTGTTTTGCCACCAGTCATGAATCCCATCATTTATAGTCTAAGAAACAAAGATATCCATCAAGCTGCATGGAAGATGTTCAGTTTCACAGAATAGTTTCAAGCACCTTTCCCCCAAAATCTCAAATGTTCAGCATAGAACAAGCAATGGCATGATTGACAAGTTTTATAGCAGAGGATATTGAATGCTGGATGATTGAGAATGCTGGGGGGCTGCATTGGGAAGTTGACAAGTTGCACATGGTGTGTGTCATGCCACCAAAGAAACCTACACTAATTACCCCGAATCATGCCCTTTTGGTTAGGTGGGTTTAGCATTGTATGTACAGTTCTGAAGGGGGACAGTCTAGATAGTCTCTTCCCCTTTGCATTTAGAGCCTCCCTCGCCCTGCCCCTTTAAGGATCTACTGAAGGGCAGAGTCTCATTCCTGACCTTTCTGTTTTCATGAGAAGACAGTTGGTATGTTCTGTTAGTGTGGCACTGGAAGGTAAAGAGTAAGAAAAATTGGAAGATCCACAAAACAGTACATCAAGTCAGAGCTATATAGTAAAGTAATATCAAGGCAAATCAAAATGTCAGAGTCAAATAGACAACTACATGCAATAGTCATGAAGAAATAGAAAAGATTCAAGAGCTAGAACTGTGTACATATGCCAAGAACATACCTTTCCTCATGTAGGCTTTTGTCTGTTAATAAAATGTTGTTTCTTGAATTACCAATCTAGTTTCTGATTTGTTCTCTGAACCACAGTACCATCCAGATTAATCGTTCGTGCAGAACACCCTCTATTTTGCTAACTAAGAAAGTACTGCTACCAAACTTGTAGTCTTGGGGCACTGTGCTCCCTTCCCCAGTGGCTGCAGATTCCTTGCATGTTTCCCAAAAACAAAGCAGAGATTTTCCCACTGAGCAAAAATTGAATGTATGTGCCTTGCAGAAGGAAAAAAAATCATGGTCTTCCACATCATCCATCCTGAGAACCACTGATCTAGAAGATATGGCAAGAAGGAATGCAGGTTCTAGGTGCATTTTGCATTCTCCATGTGGGCTGCATCTATGGTCCTCTTCAATTTGTGCAGCCTGAGTATGTGGACAGGATCCTTAGAGATGTGAGAGCTACCACATGTATTCTAGATCCTTGCCCTTCCTGGCTGATCAAACAGGCCAGTGGTGGACTGGTAGAATGGGGTGAAGATGGTGGTAAATGCCACCTTGATACAAGGCAGATTTTGAGCTTGACTAAAGGATGCAGTTGTTAGACCTATATTTAAAAAGCAATCCCTGAACCCTTCCATAAAGGAAAACTACGAACCAGAGTCCTACCATCCCTTTTTGAACAAGGTTTTAGAGCTTGTGGTAGCCTCTCAACTCCAGAAGTTTATGGATGAAATGGATAATCTAGATCCATTTCAATTTGGTTTCAGGCCTGGCTATGGAATAGAGAAAGTATTGTTTGCTTTGGTGAATGACCTATGTGGAGAGCTGGATAGGGGGAGTGTATCCCTGTTGATTTTCCTGGATCTCTCAGTGGCTTTCAATACCATTGACCATGGTATCCTTCTGGTTCATCTTGCTGGGATGGGACTGGAAGGCGCTGTTTTATAGTGCCTCCATTCCTTCCTGAAGGGGTGCAACCAGAAGGTGGCACTTGGGGGCTCCTGTTCAGACCCCTGGCTAACCTATGGGCTTCTTCAGAACAACAGTGTGGAAAACACCTTTGTATTACTTTTCATTTAGTTTTGGTTTTTTGTTTGTTTTTGGTTTTTTCTTTCTCTTTGCAAAAAAAATTATTTCAAAGGAAGAAATGGAAAACCATTCTACATTGAATGCCTTCATTCTCTTGATATTTTCTAATACTAGGGAACTACAGATTTTACATTTTGTGGTGTTTCTGTCCATTTACTCTACTCAATAAACTTTAGTCTCCAATGTCTGCACATGCATTTTTATCATCCAGGGAATGCAAAAAAACGATTGATTATTGCATCATTAGGTCTTCCCTTTTCTCTCACTTAAATTAAACCTCTGGGAACAGTGAGAATGATGCAAAGACCTTTTGAAATGTATTTCTGTTTCTGTGATATGCTGTGGTCCTTCAAACTTCCACCAACACTGGAGTATAAACGTATAAGTATTTTCTCTACATACTCAACTTCTTTCTCAAATGAGAGCTCATCTGAAAGAAAGGAGCAGAGGTGAGTCATTTCATTAATATTTGATTCACTGTGTAGCTTTGGCTGTTTGGTGTTTCAGTAGTACAGCACTACACAGTTCCCCCGAAAAAGAGGCAGGGTTTGATAACTGAATGTTTTATTTCTCATTAATGAGGAAGAAGTTGAAGAAGACTGACTGACAGAATTTATCACTTATCCATTAAAAAATACTTTAATATAGCAGCATTTAACCTGAAGCTATTGTTTCAAATATTTAGTAGTGGCTATTGAAAAGTTGAGGTCCCCAGGAAGTTTTACTTCTAAGATTTGGAAAGGAATTGTAATTCACTTCACATTAAGATGCAGAAATACTTTCAAGGATTATAAATAATGACATTAGAGAACTAATGGAATCAATCAACAAACATCTATGAGGTTGTTAGATATGAAAAGAATACTAGAAAACCCTTAATCTTTCACATTATCAACAAGTTATTGACTTTTTCAGATTTTTACAAGTGTACACAAATAGAAATTCATCATAAAATGGTATCGGTAGTACTCTATTGTGATGCACAGAGGTATAATTTCTATGACAGCCATCTAAGCATTTAATATTAGCAAGTTATAGCCTTTTTTAGTTCTTTACAAGTGTGCACAAATAGAAATTCATGATAGAATAACATCGGTAGTACTCTTATGATTCACAGTGGGAAAATTTCTATGAAATCCATCAAAGCACTGAATATGAACATTCTTGGCACCTTTCTGTTTCACATTCAACAGTTTAAAAATCATATTTCTGAGTGTGAACATAATATGAAACACCTACAGGAGAAAGGGACATCTCTGTTGTCCAAATTATTATTAAGACTCCTTGCACTTTATAATAGAGAGAGCAAAGCTACACCACACAAACAGTCAGACAACACTAGCCAAATGTGCCCCCCCCCCCAAGAAATATTGGAAAACGATTTGAGGCAGTGGTTCTCAACCTGTGGGTCCCCAGGTGTTTTGGCCTACAACTCCCAGAATTCCCAGCCAGTTTACCAGCTGTTAGGTTTTCTGGGAGTTGAAGGCCAAAACATCTGGGGACCCACAGGTCGAGAACCATTGATTTAAGGGATTCTCATAGAAAGAGGACATAGAAAGACATGCATTTAATAATACATTGAAATAGATGATTTAAAAGTAGCATATATCTCATTAAGACTGACATATGAAAAAATGAACAAATATATTTAGGCTGATACATCAAAGAAAATGAACAAATATCTTGCAGTATTCAATACAGGAAATCACATTTTGTTAAGTGCTTGTAAAATGTTAAGTGCTTGTAAAATGCACAGGAATTGGTCCAGGAGATTCAGTATACTTCAGAGTCAGGTGTTCTCTGTGTGTATGAAGTTTGTTCTAAGCTTAACAACATCACGTTAATAGCTAATTGGGTATTGAACTCAAAAATATGAAGTAAAATTCAGATCTCCATGAAGTAATTGTGGTTGAGGAGGTAGAGATAAAGGCTGCAATATCCACTGCTTTGCTCAAAGAATCATAACATTATCTGTGAAAACACTATCCAGCAGAGCAAAACATAAATGTAAAGAAATATAAACTCTGTTGATAAACTGATTATAGAAGTATTTAGTTTCATTTTTGAATTTTGTTAAGACCACAAAATAGACAACTAGAATAAAAGCAACCATGAAAACTGATAAAGTGTAGTTGAATCAAATGAATAAAAACTAGATAGATTTATTGGTCATTTGTTTCGTAAATAACTCCTCATCAGGCAATACAGATGAGGCTAATCTACTTCTTCGGAGATGAACATGAATAAGATGACTCCCCAACAGAAACACCTACAAAAGATTTATACGCAACAATATTTGTTCCACCACTGATCTGTAGTAGTTAATATTTCTGGGGGTTCATCTATACGAGGCATCTTGGTTCGGTTTATATGCCTCTGGCAGTCATGGATATAAAATGTTTGTGCTGAATATGGGGCTATTGTCCAGATGGCTCAGGAGTCCCTAAGCTACACAGAGGACAGCCGAGATCTCAACTAATCCATATTGCTGCCAACCAAGCTTCTGACTACTGATATTGGCAACTCTGCTGATTTCATAAAGGGGTGCCCGCCTAAGTAGGGGAAAGCCATCTTTCCCTGCAATCATCACAGGAAATCATCATCATCATCATCATCTTTATTTATATGACGCCACCATCTCCCTGAAGGGACTCGAGGTGACTTATAAGGCACTCTGGGGTGCACATATAACATACAACAGGTAAAAACAGTACAAAAGTATAAAACATGCCACATACAATTATAACAACAATTCTAGTCAACACATGTAGGATGAAATCAAAATAATACAATTTTAAAATAACAGTAGATAAAACTAACTACTGTCAATTCACAAGTTGCCAAGTGTCAACTTCATATGGGTCTATTCAGCTTACTCATGGTCAAAGGTCTGTCTGCTTTCAGGTTGGAATGGAAGGATTGAAAGGTGAGGACTAATCTCTTTTGGGAGGGTATTCCAGAGCAGGGGGGCACCACAGAGGAAGGCCCTCTCTCTCATCCCCACCAAGCATGCTTGAGACAGTGGTGGGACCAAGAGAAGGGCCTTCCCTATTGATCTCTGATTCATAGAAAGAGATGCAGTCACAAAGATAGGTTGGACCCAAAGCAAATAGGGCTTTAAAGATAATAACCTATAAAAGGCTAATGGTAGATGTTTGCAGTCTGTACAACTGAAGGATGCAGAAGGCTCACACATCATGCAATATTCTCTCTCTTTCTCTCTCTCTCTCTCTCTCTCTCTCTCTCTCTCTATGTATATATATGTGTGTGTGTGTGTGTGTGTATGTATACATCTAGACCACCCAAAAGAATTAAGCATCAAAATGAAAACAGAATAAAATAATCCAATAAAACATGATAACACTAATAACATGAGTTAACATTAAAACATATACCCTGTAAGACAATTAAAATACATTAAAAATGACTATCACAGATGGTCACTTAAAATGTGTCATAGCCACCATGAGGTATAAATAAGTTAGCAAGCAATCTGATGGAATTAATTTAATTCCAGCAAATTTAATTTAATTATAGAGTTTCCAACAAACTCTAGAGCAGTAGTTCTCAACCTGTGGGTCCCTAGATGTTTTGACCTACAACTCACAGAAATCCCAGCTACTTTACCAGCTGTTGGGATTTCTGGGAGTTGAAGGCCAAAACATCTAGAGACCCACAAGTTGAGAACCACTGATTTAGAATATCCCTCAGCTTTGTTCAAAACAAGGTTAGGCCAGTTTAAAGCAAAGCCTCTGGCAATATTTAACAGAAGCCACTGTCCAATGTGGGGACAGACATATGTCCATTCAGTTTAGCATTTTTTGTGAGCGTAGATAAGCCAAAACAAAACTTCAAACAAACAAGAAAGGCAAATTATGAAACAGAGTTCATATTTTGTTCCCTTTCTTTGTCATATCAGTAGTGAAATGAGGTTAGATTTATTTCATTTTGAAGGAAATACTAAATTACATTGCTAATGGTGTGAAAATTGACATATTCCAAAATGATGTTGTTTAAAATCTCATTGTTATTTATTCCTCTTGGACCTATGAATCTGATCATGCACGTATAATTTGTTTTATATGCAAGGTTCAACACAATATACCAGTTTTTGTAATGAAGTTTTATCTCTCCTTTACATCAGGTCCTTTGTGAAGTTTCCTATTTCTTTAGTTTAAGGTTTACACTGGTCTTAAAATGAAATCTAAACCTCAAGCATTAAGGTCTACCTGACTTCGTTCTGATGGTCAAGAATGAAATTCATATTTTGATTACTGCAGATAAAGGTTTACTTGGCCTTTACAGGTATTGGAAGAATCCTATAATGTATATTTTACGGGTTTTTCATTATATTCTAGAGCAACTGATCTAAAACCTTTTTGGACATAGAACCCTTCATAAGTTTTTTTATAAACTTGGGAAGGGTGATGTGTAACAAGTTATCCAAGTACTGCCCAAAGTCCTTCAAAAGGCAGAAAGGTTTTAAAATATCTTTTTTTCCCTTTCTGATATGGATTCAACAATTTGGGATAACTTTTTGTTCTTGCTCTCTTTTTTGCATTACATATCTTTACTTTTTCTCTTTACAGAGAAATATTCTCCCAAGGAAGAAATGGAAAACCAATCTACAGTAAATGAATTCATTCTCTTGGGATTTGCAGATACCAGAGAGCTACAGATTTTACATTTTGTGGTGTTTCTGTCCATTTACTTGGCTGCCTTGATTGCAAATGTACTCATTATCCTAACTATAGCTTATGATCATAACCTACAAAGCCCCATGTATTTCTTCCTGGCCAATTTATCTTTGGTAGATCTTTGCTTCATCTCCATAACTGTTCCTAAATCTATGTGTATATCATTGTCAAATAACAGAAGAATTTCCTTCTCTGGATGTGTTTCCCAAGTATTTCTATTTGTCACATCTGCAAGTGCTGAACTGTCTTTTCTTACTATTATGGCATATGACCGCTACGTGGCAATCTGCCTCCCTTTACAATATATGAGAATCATGAATTTGAATTCGTGTCTCCAAATGGCAGCTGCCTCTTGGATCACTGCTTTGGTCCATGCAATAGTGCAAACCATAAGCACATTCAGGTTACACTTTTGTACTTCAAATATTAAACAATTTTTCTGTGATATGTCCCAATTATGGAGGATTTCATGCACAGATACAAAACTGAATGAGTGGCTTACTTTTGCTATTGCAGTAACAGTGGACTCGTTTTGTTTTTTCCTTATACTGATATCTTATGGATTTATCTTCTCAACGGTATTCAAGATTCAATCATCCCAGGGTCGGCATAAAGTTTTCTCCACCTGCACTCCACACTTGACTGTCTTCTCTTTATTTCTTTCAACTGCTGTATTTTCATACTTTAGACCACAAGCCTTGTCCTCAACTCCTGTAGATTTGTTGGCTGCTTTCTTGTATGTTGTTTTGCCACCAGTCATGAATCCCATCATTTATGGTCTGAGAAACAAAGATATCCGTTGGGCTACATGGAAGATGTCAAATAAGTGCTTTCAGTTTCATTGGGTCATCTCAAACACTTTCCCCCCAAAGTCTCAAGTGTTCAGCATAGGAAAAAAATCCACAGCATGATTGTCAAGCATTATAGCAGGAATATGGGATGATTGAGGATGCTGGGGGGAAGCACTGAAACCCTGACAAGTTGCACATGGTCTGTAACCTCCGTTTTGCCAATCTAGCAAATAATGCTACCAAACTTGTAGACTGGGAGCAGTGTGATCCCTTCCCTGCAGGCCACTTACAGGTTTCTAAGGGTAGTTCCAGACAGTCCTTTATCCCAGGATCACTCACATTTTTAAAATGTGGGTGTTCCTGGGAGCCTGCCTACACCCACCCCAGAAAACACGTGCTTTCTGGGGTAGGTGTCCAGATGATCTACTGAGACTAGCCCAGCAGAACATCTGAGGACCCATCCCCAATGCCCCCAAACCCCTTTGAAAAGTAAACAAAACTTACCCGGCCTCCATTACAGCCTTGGAGCAGCTCTCCCAGTGCATAGAAATGAAGTGCCAGGAGACTGGGGGAGGGGAGAGCAATTTTTCTCCTCCCCCTCCCCCCCCCCCCCCCCCCCCCCCCCCCCCCCCCCCCCCCCCCGCTCTCCTGGCATGTCATTACTATGCACTGGGAGAGCTGCTCCAAGACTGTAATGGAGGCCGGGTAAGTTTTCTTTTACTTTTCAAAGGGCTTTGGGGGCTTTGGGAGAGGGGGTAGGTATTCCCACAGTTTTCTGGAGTAATTTAGTCCAGAAAACTGTGGGAATGGTGTCTAGACTGTGGTCCAGACACCAGAAATAGTGGGTTTATCCTGCATCTTCAAAGAAGGCATGAAATAAATCCTGAAGAAGGATTCTTGAAACAAGAATAGTGTACCCGGGATTCTTGTTGTTGTGTCTACAATTAGTGGACATGTGTACTATTTTCCTTTGAACATTTATGTAGACCTGCTTAGAGTTATAGTATAGTCACAATTAGAACCCAGTTTGATTTGTGAAACAATACTAAAATAATTGTGGAATTATTTTTGTTTTGAATTGTTCTTTGCTATTGAAACCATTGTTGTTACATGAAATAAATCCACCATCAAATTAATTCTCTACAAACCAGGATTTTCCTGGTTTGTGGTGAATTAATTCGGGATTGTCCAAGACTTCATCTGGACAGCCCCTTCTTTATTGCAGGAGATATCACAATAAAGGGGCTGTCTGGATGCGCCCCAAGAAACAAAGTAGAGTTATTTCCACTGGGCAAAAAATTACTTTCAGTGACTTGCACATTGAAAAAATTCAGGTCTTCCAAATCATCCATCCTGAGAACCACTGCTCTAGAAGACATGGCAAGAATGAATGCAGGCTCCAGGTGCATTTTGCATTCTCCATGTGTGCTGCATCTATGCTCCTCTTCTTGGGATCTGGCTTTCAATATAACTTGATTAGACAGGCTTTGTAGTCCTTTTCCCCTCAATTTGTTCCCTGTTCACCCTCAGAATTGAAAACATAATTTCTTTTTACATCTTCATTGTGTATGCTGTCCATGAAAGGCCTAAATGAATTTATACTTCTCTGTACAGTATTCTACTTAAATAACTACCAGAAAAATATAATGCCCACCTGAGGAGGCAAAGTATTTGGGATTAGAGAATATACTGCACTGGGTTTGTGATTCTATCTTTAATTGTATTATTATTTATTTATTTATTTATTTATTTCAATCATTCGTTTATATTTCATCTCTTTCCCAATAAGGCAATTAAGAATAAATTAAGAATTGGTTGTTATATAATTTCAATTATACTTATCTACGTTAAAAAGTGCTTAGAACCCCTATTAGTGATTTGTAAATATGTGTAACAGGAGTGCTCTAGTGTGCATTGGAGGCTACTATTGTGCATTTCCACAAATGAGCAATAATTGTAAGACCAAAATATGAGTACTTTACTGTTGAAGAGCTTTGTAAACAGAGGGAAAACATTTTTACTTAAAGAATAATCTGCAGACAAATACTAAATCAATATTATATTGTAGGCATTGGCAAATCACAGACACTCATATTTCTTCAAAGGAAGAAATGGAAAAACCATTCTACAATGAATGTCTTCATTTTGTTGGCATTTTCTAATTCTTGGGAACTGCAAATTTTACATTTTGTGGTGTTTCTGTCCATCTACTCTACTCAACAAACTTTAGTCTCCAATGTCTGCACATGCATTTTTCTCATCCAGGGAATGCAAATAAACTATTGAACATTGCATCATTAGGTCTTCCATTTTCTCTCACTTAAATTAAACCTTTGGGAACAGTGAGAATGATGCAAATAACTTTTGAAATGTATTTCTATTTCTGTGATGTCCTGTGATCCTTCAAATTTCCAGCAAGACTAGGGTATAAATGTATAAATACTTTCTCTACATGCTCAACTTCTTTCTCGAATAAGAGCTCATCAGAAAGAGAGGAGCAAGGGTGAGTCAATTGATTAATATTTAAGTCAGTGAGTGGCTTTGGGCTGTTTGGTGTTTCTGTAGTACAGCACTATGGAGCTTCCTCAAAGAAAGAGGCAGGGTTGACAACTGATCGTTTGATTTCTCATCAACGAGGAAGAGGTTTAGGAAGATTAACTGACACAATTTATCACTTACCAATTAAAAAGCACTTTAATATAGCAGCATTTTACTTGAAGCAATTATTTCAAATATTTCCTAGTAGATATACTAGAGGATTTTCCCCTCAGAAAGTTTTACTTCTCTGATTTGGAGATTATAAAACCCTTATGTTGTCAAAGGTTTTCATGGCGAGAATCACTGGTTTTTCTGTGAGTTTTCTGGGCTATATGGCCATGTTCCAGGGGCCTTCTCTCCTGACATTTAGCCCACATCTTTGGCAGACATCCTCAGAGGTTGTGAGGTCTGTTGAAAACTGACAAGTGGGGTTTATGTATGCTTATGGAGCATATAGCTCGGTTAACTCACAGCAACCCAGTGATTCCAGCCATGAAAGCCTTCAGCAACACATAAAACTTTATTTTTTAGCAAAGGAATTATGATTCACTTTACATTAAGATGCAGAAATACTTTCAAGGATTAGAAAGTAATGACATTAGAGAACTAATAGAATCAATCAATACATGTCTATGAGGTTGTTAGCTATGAAAAGAATACTAGAAAAAACTTAATCTTTCACATTATCATGAAGTTATTGACTTTTTCAGATCTTTACAAGTGTACACAAATAGATATTAATCATAAAATGGTATCAGTAGCACTCTATTATGATGCACAGAGGTATAACTTATATCACATCCATCTAAGCAGTTAATATTAGCATTCTTGGTACCTTTCTGTTTCTCATTCAACAGTTAAAATTCCTATTTCTGGGTGTGAACACAACATGAAATACCTACTGAGAAAGGATAATCTCTGTTGTCCAAACTATAATCAAGACCCCTTGCTCTTATATAATAGAGAGAGCAAACTTACACCACACAAATAGCCAGACAACACTAGCAAAATGGGTTCTGCTGTAAAAAATTGGAAGAGGATTTCAGGAGTTCTCATAGCAAAAATAACGTACATTTAATAGACTGAATAGATAATTCAAAAGTTGCCTATCAGCATATATCTCATTAAAGTTGACACATTAAATAAAATGAAAAAATATATATATTTTAGTATTCAATGCAGGAAACCAAATTTTGTAATGTGTTTGGAAAATAATGTTTTTCTATAATAATATAGCTAGGTACAAAGCTCTCAGGAATGGGGTGGGAGTGTATCTCAAGTCTTGCCAAAAGTTTCGGTATAATATTCATTCAGGTGTTCTTTATGTATATGGAGGCTGTTCTAAGTTTAATAACTTCATACTAACTGAGTATTTAACTCAAGAACCATGGAGTAAAATCCACATCTGCATTAGGGGTGGGAGGCAGAGTTCAAGCAAGCAATATCCATTCCTTTACTCAAAAGAATCATAACATTATGGGTGAAATTAATTTCCAGTGGAGGGAAACATAGATGTAAAGAAATACAAGCTCTGTTAATTGCCTGACTAGAGGAGTAGTTAACATTTTTCAATATTGCTAAAACAATAGTTTTTAAGTTAAGCCGTGAAATAAACAACTAGAATAAAAAAAAACAGCAACTATGAAAAGAGTTGCTGAAACTTTAGAACAAAAACTAGACTGATTTAGCAGTCATTAAGTGCTTTAATAGCTCCTCATTAGGCAGTCCAACACAGAATAATCCTTCTTTTGCAGAGGTACTAATGTTGGCAGTACTAATCTTACTAGACATTAGGAATGTTTTTTGTTGTGATGTAAATATTATTTAAATGGGATGTCTATTGGGTGCAAAAGCAATCATTTTTTTTAAATTAAGAAAAAAAATTATTTTTTAAAAATTTTAAAACTATAAAATCTCGCAGTTTCCCTTCCCTGGCAGCGAGTGGCGATGCCAAGGGACGAGGTGGGCATGGCTAAGCACAGCTCTTCTTGAAGGCAACACCCCCAGTGGCCTTCAAGAAGAGCTGTGCTTAGCCACCCCCACCTCGTCCCTCTTTGCATCACCATTCACTGCCAGGGAAGGGAAACTGCAGGATTTTAAAACTGTTATATTATTTTGATTTTCAGAACCATAACTTTGGCAAAGCCAAAGAGTTAGGCAAATCTAAGTACAGGAAATTCCAATGAGAAGAAGTACACTGTACAAGTTGTAGAATGCACTAACCTTAAAATGAAATCTCAACCTAAAAGACTATATCTGACTTTGCTCTTGTGGTCAAGAATGAAATTCATATTTGGCTGGCTGTGGATAAAGATCTACTTGGCCCTAGCACAGTGGTTCTCAACCTTTGGATCCCCAGGTGTTTTGGCATACAACTCAGCCAGTTTACCAGCTGTTAGGATTTCTGGGAGTTGAAGAACAAAACATCTGGGAACCCAAAGGTTGAGAACCACTATGCTAAGGCCAAGTAGACCTTTATCCACTGCCTTAGCAGGCACTGAAAGACTTCTATACTGTATATAGAGCAGCGGTTCTAAAACCTTTTTTGGGATTGGTGATGGGTAACAAGGTATCCAAGCACTGCCCAAAGAGTCTTCAGTAGTTAAGCAATATCATTCCTCTACGACTGATCTAAGGACAGCCAGCATAGTAATGTCCACACTGCTTTGATTCTGAACACTGTAGCAGCAGCTGCATTAAATGTGATCCCACTCATCCACTCAACTGAAGAGAGAAAAGGTAAAATATTTTGTAATATCTTCTTTCATAATATTAGGAAGAGAAGTATCCTCTTCTAGGGCATGAGGAAATTCCATTTTTTAAAGTAAAAAGACATAGTTTTTCCGTAACCACTGTACTAAATCAAACAACCTTTCATATTCTTCTTGTCCTTGTAAGATATGTTCTAATGAAAAAAGATTGCAACCAGAATAACATGCAATCAAACCGCAAGGGACCATCTCTAATATTCAGCAATGAGTTTCTCCCCATGGCTAAAACCTTTTGTCTAATTGTACCTTTCAAGTCAGAAACATTTAAAAATTAGGCTTGGTCAAGTTCATTCGGAAGTTTCTTAAATCTGAATTAATTCAGATTAAATTCCCTTTTGAACCAATTTCAAACCATGCAGGAATAGTGGGAGGAGCAATTCCGAATTTAAACCAGTTACCCATTGTTCGGAATTATTTTCGGATGTCTCCCACAGTTATTTTGATTTTCAGGACCATTAAGCAACTTTGGCAAAGCCTAACAAATGGTTTTAAAATCTTGCGGTTTCCCTTCCCTGGAGGCGAGCGGTGATGAAGCGGGATGAGGTGGGCGTGGCTAAGCACAACTCTTCTTGAAGGCCACGCCCCCAGTGGCCTTCAAGAGAGCTGTGCTTAGCCACACCCACCTCATCCCAGAGTCTTAGCATCGCCGTTCACCGCAAGGGAAGGGAAACCGTGAGATTTTAAAACTGTAAAATCTCGCAGTTTCCCTTCCCTGGCAGCGACTGATGATGCAGAGGGACAAGGTGGCTGTGGCTAAGCACAGCCCTTCTTGAAGGCAATACCCCCAGTGGCCTTCAAGAAGAGCTGTGCCTAGCCACGCCCACCTCATCCCTCTTTGCATCGCCATTCGCCGCCAGGGAAGGGAAACTGCGTGAATTTCAAACTGTTATAGTATTTTGATTTTCAGAACCATAACTTTGGCAAAGCCTAACAAATAGTTTTAAAATCTCGCAGTTTCCCTTCCCTGGCGGCGGGCGGCGATGCAGAAGGACAAGGTGGGCGTCGCTAAGCACAGCTCTTCTTGAAGGCCAACTCAATGGCTGGGAAATAGCCTACTGGCAGTGCTCCCGCCTTGCAAACAGAATTCTCCAGGTTCGAATCCCCATCAGGGACAAAAATGTTAAAATCAGCTGGGAAAACAGGGAAGGGAGAGGCACCTTCCATTAACGAAGCGATTCGGATTTCTGATATTTCTGATCTTTTTTTCAAGAAAATTTCAGAAATCATTTCAAAATCGAATCGCCAGCAATCCCGAAAAGAGTTTTGAACTTTTTTTTTTGGCTCAACCAAGCCTATTAAAAATATCTATTTTTTCTTACTTTTCTTTGTTGTTGCTCTCTTTTTTTACCTTACATTTATTTACTTTTCTCTTTGCAGAAACACATTCCCCTAAGAAAGACATGGAAAACGAATCTACAGTAAATGAATTCATTCTCTTGGGATTTGCAGATACTCGAGAGCTACAGATTTTACATTTTGTGGTGTTTCTGTCCATTTACTTGGCTGCCTTGATTGCAAATGTACTCATTTTCCTAACTATAACTTATGATCATCATCTGCATAGCCCCATGTATTTTTTCTTGACCAATTTATCTTTGGTAGATCTTTGTTTCATCTCTGCAACTGTTCCTAAATCTATGGCTATCTCATTGACAAATGACAGAAGAATTTCCTTTTCTAAATGTGCTTCCCAAGTGTTTCTAGTTATCACATCTGCAGGGGCTGAGCTGTCCTTTATTACTGTCATGGCATATGACCGCTATGTGGCAATTTGCCACCCTTTACAATATATGAGAATCATGAACTTGAATTTGTGTCTCCAAATGGCATCTGCCTCTTGGATCTGTGCTATAGTGCATGCACTAGTGCAGACTATAAGCACATTCAGTTTACACTTTTGTACTTCAAATATTAAACAATTTTTCTGTGATATGTCCCAATTATGGAGGATTTCATGCACAGATGCAATACTGAATAAGTGGCTTACTTTTGCTGTTGGAATAACAGTAAACCCTTTTTGTTTTTTCTTTATATTGATATCTTATTGGTTTATCTTCTCAGCAGTATTTAAGATTCGATCATCCCAAGGCAGGCGTAAAGTCTTCTCTACCTGCACTCCACATTTGACTGTCTTCTGTTTATTTTTTTCAACTGCTATGTTTTCATACTTTAGACCACCGGCCTTATCCTCAACTTCTTCAGATTTATTGTCTGCTTTCTTGTATGCTGTTTTGCCACCAGTCATGAATCCTATCATTTATAGTCTTAGAAACAAAGATATCCATCAAGCTGCACAAAAGATGTTCAGATATCTATCAGGCTACATGGAAGATGTTTACAGAATTATTTCAAACACCCTTTCCCCAAAGTTTCAAATGTTCAGCAAAGAAAAAGCAATGGCATGATTGATAAGTTTTATAGCAGAGAATATGGAATATTGGATGATTGAGAATTATGGGGGACTGCATTGGGAACTTGACAATTTGCACAAGGTGTGTGTCATGCCACCAGAGAAACCCACACTAATTACCCCTAATCATGTCCTTTCGGCTAGATGCGTTTAGCACTGTATGTACAATTCTGAAGAGAGCCAGTCTAGATAGTCTCCTGCCCTTTGTGTTTAGAGTCTCCCTCTCTTGCCCCTTTATGGCTCTTCTGAGGGGTGGAGCCTCTGCCCTGACCCTTCTGCTTTCATGAGAAGACAGTTGGAATGTTCTGATAATGTAGCACTGTAAGGTAAAAAGTGAGAAGGATTGGAAGATCCAAAAAAATAGTACATCAAGTCAGAACTATAAAGTAATATCAAGCCAAGTTAAAACATCAGTCAAACAGACAACTAAAATCAACAGGAGGAGAAAAGATTCAAGAGACAGAACTATGTACATATGCCAAGAACTTAACTTTCCTCACATATACTTTATAGCAATACCCAGGAGGAAAAGAAGTTTAAGTTTTGTCTGTTAATAAAATGTTGTTTCTTGAATTACCAATATAGTTTCTGATTTGTTCTCTGCACCACAGTACTGTCCAGATTAATAGTTAGTGTGGAGACAGAATATCTTCCATTTTGGCAACTTAGCAAGTAATACTACCAAACTTGTAGTGTGGGAGTTGTGTGATCCCTTCCCCAGTGGCTGCAGATTCCTTGCATGTTTCCCAAAAACAAAGTAGAGATTTTCCCACTGAGCAAAAATTGAATGTATGTGCTTTGCAGAAGGAAAAAAAATCATGGTCTTCCACATCATCCATCCTGGGAACCACTGATCTAGAAGATATGGCAAGAAGGAATGCAGGTTCCAGGTGCATTTTGCATTCTCCGTGTGGGCTGCATCTATGGTCCTCTTCTTGAGATCTGGATTTAATATAATATAGTTCCCATTTCTTCTATGTTGACCCGCAGAATTAGAGACATAATTTCTTTTTAGATGGTTATTGTATATTCTGTCTATGAAAGATTTAAATAAATGTATACTTCTCTGTGCAGGTTTTTATTTATTTTGTTACCAGAAAAAAATGAATTTCCACACAAGGAGGCAAGGATTTTAGAATTAAATAACATACTGCACTGGGTTTGTGATTCTTTCTTTAACTATATTATTCATCAATTCATTCATTTATATTTCACCTATTACCTAGTAATGGGTCTCAAGTCAACAACGAATAATGACAGAAATTGGTTACATAACTTTAATTATACTTATCTACATAAAAGTGTTTAGAAACCCTGCTACTGACTCATGAATATCTGTAACAAGAGTGCTCTAGCGTGTATTGGAGGTTACTAATGTGCATTGCCACTCCCTAGACAGTCTGTAAGACCCAAATAAGAGTATTTTATTGTTGAAGAGCTTTGTAAACAGAGGGAAAACATTTTTACTTAAAAATAATCTGCAGACACCAAATCAATATTGTATTGTAGGCAAGGCACAGACTATCAGCTCCTGAAAACTTTGCAATAGCTTTTTCTTGGGATCGGCATAAGGTGGAAGTGATAATTTCATCAAAGGTCTCTAACGCAGTGATATGAGATCAACAATGTAGAAAAAAGCCTTTGTATTGTTGCTTGTAGATTTTATACCTTTTTTGCTTTGTTTTTGCAGTAAAAGATTCCTTCAAAGAAATAAAAAGAGAACGATTCTACAGTTAATGATTTCACTCTGTTGGCATTTTCGAATACTAGGAAACTACAGATTTTATGTTTTGTGTTGTTTCTGTCCATTTACTCTACTCAAACTTTAGTCTCCAATGTCTGCACATGCATTTTTCTCATTCAAGGAATAAAAACAAACTATTGAACATTGCATCATTAGGTCTTTCATTGTCTCTTACTTAAATTAAACCTTTGGGAATAGTGTGAATGATGCAAAGACCTTTTGAAATTTATTTCCATTTCTGTGATGTCCTGTGGTCCTTCAAACACTGGAGTATAAATATATATATATTCTCTACATTCACAACTTCTTTCTCAGATGAGCGCTCATCTGAAAGAAAGGATCAGAGGTGAGTCATTTCATTAATATTTGAGTCACAGAGTGGCTTTGGGCGGTTTGGTATTTCAGTAGTACAGCACTATGGAGCTTCCCAAAAGAAAGAGGCAGGATTGATAACTGAATGTTTGATTTCTCATTAATGAGGAAGAGTAACAGAATTTATCACTTAACCATTAAAAAGCACTTTAATATAGCAGCATTTAACTTGGAGTAATCATTTCCAATATTTACTAGTGGATTTCCTAGATAATTTTCCCCTCAGAAAGTTTTACTTCTGTGATTTGGAGATAATAGAAGCCTTGTTTGTTAAGCGAGAGTTTTAATTCACTTTACATTGAGATGCAGAAATACTTTCAAGGATTAGAAAGTAATGGACATTAGAGAACAAATGGAATCAATCAATAAGCATCTATTACGTCATCAGCTATGAAATTAATACTTGAACACCTTAATCTTTAACATTCTCACCAAATTGTTACCTTTTTCAGATCTTTACAAGTGTACACAAATAGAAATTCATCATAAAATGGCATCGGTAGTACTCTATTATGATTCACAGAGGTAACATTTCTTTGACATCCATCTACACATTTAATATTAACATTCTTGGCACCTTTCTGTTTCACATTCAACTGTTTATACGTCATAATTCTGAGTGTGAACACAACATGAAACACCAACTGAGAAAGGATAAATCTCTGTTGACCAAACAATAATTAAAACCCCTTGCTCTTATATATTAGAGCAAAGTTTTACAACACAAATAGCCAGACAACACTATCAAAATGGGTTGTGCCAAAAGAATTAGAAGAGAATTTCAAGGGTTCTTTAGGTATAAAACACTCAGGAATGGCAATGGAAGTGTATCTCAAGTCAGTATAATATTCATTCAGGTGTTCTTTATGTGTATGAAGGTTGTTATAAGATTAATAACTTCATTTCAATGGCTAATTGGGTAATGAACTCAAAAACTATGGTGTAAAGTCCAGATCTGCATAAAGGCATTAGGGGTGGGAGGCAGAGTTCAAGCAAGCAATATCCATTCCTTTACTCAAAAGAATCATAACATTATGGGTGAAAGATATGTCCAACAGAGTAAAACATAGATGTAAAGAAATATAAGCTCTGTTAATTGCCTGAAAAAAGGAGTAAGTAACATTTTTGAATATTGCTAAGACAATAGTTTTTATGTTAAGCCATAAAATAAACAACTAGAATATAAAACAACTATGAAAACTGATTAAGAGTTGTTGAAACCATGGAACAAAAACTTGACCAATTTAGTTGTCATGAAGTGCTTTAATAACTCCCAATCCTTCTTCTGGAGAGGCACTAATTTTGGAAGTACAAATCTGATTAGGCATTAGGAACGGTTTTTGTTGTGAAGTAAATGTTATTGAAATGGGATGTATATTGGGTACAAAAGCTATCAATTATTTTTGTATCAAGACTTAGGCACATATAAGTACAGGACATTCCACAGAGAAGAAGTAGACTGTAGAAGCTGTGGAACGCATCTCTTATTTATTGCATTATATAAAAAGCTTAACATGGATTTTACTTTGGAAGACAGTTAAGCAGCATCTAAAACAAAATGTGACTTTTTGGTGGGAGATTAATTTTGCCATTCTCTTCTTCTGTGTTAGAACTAACATAGAACTAGTTAACCCTTCTTCTTCTTCTGAGATGAACATGAATAAAGTGACTACCCAAAAGAAACAACCAAAAATGATTTATATGCAATAGTATTGTATTCCTCAAAGGATCTATAGTAGTTAATATTTACGAGGGTTCATCTTCACCAGGTAGTTTAGTTCAGTATAGATATATGTCATTGGGCAGTCCTGGATATATTGGGCTATTGTCCAGAATGGCTCAGGAGTCTTTGAGCTGCACTGGGGCAGACCAGATCTCAACTGTTCCATGTTACTGTCAGTCAAGCTTCTGTCTACAAGTTTCACACTAAACTATACTGCAATTTTTTTATAAATGTTATTTAATAGCCCATAAAGTATGCTGCATAAATACTACCCTGCTGACTTTTAAAATTTATAATAAGATTCTTTGTCTCCTTTAAATCAGATTAATTGGATTTTTCCTGTTTCTTCAGTTTAAGACTCACAGTGGTGTGCAAATGAAATCTAAACCCAATACCCCAAAAACTATCTCTAACTTTTCTCTGATGGTCAAGGATGAACTTCTCATTTTACTGACTGAGGGAATAAAGTTCTACTTGGCATTGGCAGGTACTGGAATAATCCTATAATGTATTACCTGGGAAGGTGATGGGTAACAAGCTAAGCACCTGTTGGCCAAAAGGTGGCCTTCAGTGGTTAAGCAATGTCATTCTTTCATGGGTGATCTAAGGAGACCCATCAAAGTAATGTCCTCATTGCTCTCATTCTGAACATTGCAGCAAATGCCTCAAATGTCATTCTTCCCATCCATCCATATAGTTGGGAAAAGGGTAAAATATTTTTATAGCTTTTTTATATGCTAAAAGACAGCCATCTTTTTCTAGGGCATGGGGAATTTCAATTTCTTCACATACAAAAGACACAGTATTTCCTGGCTCATCTTAACACACTTTACTTAATCATATTTTTCAATCTTTTCTTTCCTACAAGATATGTTTTAGTGAAAGGAAATTGCAATTAGATTTGCATGTAATCAAGCCTTCAATCATAAAGAGCTACTTCTGGGATTCTTTACAAGAGATAACAAACTACAATGATATTCCCTTAGTTAATAAAATCTCTTTTGTAATATCTTACAAAGTCTGCCATTGAAAAGGCAGAAAATATCAAAAAGCATTATGTGTTTTTCTTACTAATCTTATTTTATATATGTATTTCTTTATCTTTACAGAGAATATTTTCTCCAAGGAAAAAATGGAAAACCAGTCTACAGTCGATGAATTCATTCTGTTGGCATTTTCTGAAATCAGAGAGCAACAGATTTTACATTTTTTGGTGTTTCTGTCCATTTATTTGGTAGCATTGATGGGAAACATTCTCGTTATACTAACTATAGCCCATGACCATAATCTGCATACTCCCATGTATTTCTTTCTAGCCAATTTATCATTAGTAGATACTTGCTATATCTCTGTAACTGTTCCTAAATCTATGGCTATATCATTGACAAATAACAGAAGAATTTCCTTCTCTGAATGTGTTTCCCAAGTGTTTCTAATTATCACATTTGTAGGGGCTGAGCTGTCCTTTCTTACTGTTATGGCATATGACCGCTATGTGGCAATCTGCCTCCCATTACAATATATGAGGATCATGAATTGGAATGCCTGTCTCCAAATGGCAGCTGCCTCTTGGCTCAGTGCTATAGTTCATGCAGTAGTGGAAACTATATCAACATTCAGGTTACTTTTTTGCACTGCTCATGTTCAACAATTTTTCTGTGATGTGGCAGAATTATGGAGGATTTCGTGCACAGACATAATGTTCAATGAATGGCTTGTTGTCACTTTTATATTAACTGCTGGTATTTGTTGTCTTTCTTTGATATTAATATCTTATGGGAACATCTTCTCAACAGTATTCAAGATTAATTCATCCCAGGGTAAGCGTAAAGTCTTCTCCACCTGCATTCCACACTTGACTGTCTTCTCCTTATTTTTTACAACTGTTGTATTTTCATACTTTAGACCAAAAGCTTTGTCTTCAGCTTCTGTAGATTTGTTGGCTGCTTGCTTGTATGCTGTTTTGCCACCAGTCATGAATCCCATTATTTATAGCATGCGAAACAAAGATATCCATCAGGCTGCACAGAAGCTGTCAAATAAATGTTTTCGATATCACAGAATTGTCTCAAATACCTTTGCCAAAAACTGTAAAATTTTCAGTAAATAAAACACAATGGCATGATTTACAAGTTATAAACTACTGTCATTTTTCTGATATGGATATGGAGTAGTAGATCATTGGGGATATTAGGGGCTCCCGACAAGCTCCATATAATCCGAATCCTCTATTTTACCAACCTATCTTGAGTTGTAGTTTGGAACCAGTACTGTCCCTTAGCCAATGGCTACGGATTCCTATCATGTTTCCAAAATCAAAGCAGAGTTATCCCCATGGGGAAAAACTTGAGTTCCATTGCCTTGCACATTGAAATAAAAACCCCACTCCCTTATATCTCTGTCCTGAGAAGTAGTGCTCTAGAAGGTATACCAAGAAGAAATGCAGGGTCTGGGTATATCCTGCAGTCCTCCTGGGTGCTTGATTAATGTTCCTCTTCTTGAGATCTAGATTACCATATGTCTATGATAGCAAATCTTTAACCTCTGTCATCTTCTGTTCCCCAATGTGTTCTCTGTTCACCTTCTGAATTAGATTTTTTCTTGTTATGTGTTTCATGTGTCTGTTGCACATGAAAGGCCTAAGTAAATTAACACCTCTCCATACAGCTTTTTAATTATATGGTTACCAGAAAAATGTAACTTTCACATGGAAAACAAGCAATATGGCCTGTTCCTGGCCATGAGGATGGTGGACTCAGAGCCCACAATTGAACAGGATGATGGAGAAAAAAGAAAACAAGCAATATGGGGGTAGAGAGAAAATTGTACTGGGCTGCTCATCACATTTTAAAACATGTCCTTTATTTTTATATTCTTTATTTCATGTGTTTATATTTCACCTGTTTCCCAATAAATTAGCTCAAGGCAACTATGAATAAAGGCCAGAGTCCTATATTATATAGCTTTAATTATATTTCTCCACAAAAAAGAAGTGCTGAGAAACCCTGTTAGTGACTTCTCAAAATGTCTAACAGAAGTGCTCTCAGGTGCATAGTCAGAAACTGCAACATTTCTATCAATGTGCATGTAACCAATGCACACTGGTCCCATTGTCCTCCTGTCACTCCCCTGACTCCCCTATGTAAAGGCACCCCTTTACTGGATGCAGACTTTATGGAAGTGCCCAATTCTATTTCTGCATAACCACTTATGAAGATATAAATTCTCAATAGGATTCCAGCCTGGGATGGAAATATTTGAAAGAGAGAAGGAAGGGATTCGTTCACTCATACGTACAATTGTGCATAGATTTGGTGGACAGAAAAAGACAACTAAATGTTGCAGTTTCTGACCATTCCCTTAAAAACTTCTTATATTTATTATATCTTATCTTGGTGATACGAAGACAATAGCAAGGGAGAGAGAAAAGGAAATAAGACAGACACATTATATTTCAGACAGCTTGTCTCATGGTGATGTACTTTTAAATGTCAACAGATCCAAATTAATAATTATCTGTGAGATCAAGATATGACCACCTTATTGTTGAAGGGTTTTGTCAACAGAGGAGGAAAATCTGCAGGCAAGCATTAAACATACATTTAATCGTGGGCAAGCCACAGACTCTTAGCCCTGAAAAACCTTGTGCCAGCTTTTCCTCAGAGTTGCCATAAGGTGGAAATGATAATTTGGTCAAAGGTCTCAATGAATTTGACTCCCATACTGACTCAAAGACAATTCTATATAAGATTGTAATTATATAAACATAACAGTCTTGCCCATATTTGCACTGGGATTTAAGTTCCCCTGCAGTCAAAGTGCACTCTGAGCCTCAATAATGATGGACCTGGGATAGATCTTTATTTTTGGAAATTGTAGTTCACCTACATTTAGAGAAACTGTAACCCCCCCCCCCCCAACTGACAATGCCCCTGCACCACACTTGGCACACAGAACACCCAAGACCAACCAAACATACTGGAACAGCTTTGGGGGAATTGACCCCGATTTCTGGAAGTGTTAGTTTCAACTACATCCAGAGACACTGTGATCCCAACCAATCCCAAACAACAATATACCAGGATCAAACTTGGCACACCGAACCCCCAAGGCCACCTGAACCTACTGGAGGGGTTTGAGGGGAAGTTGTAGTTTACCCTGCAGCCAGAGAACACACAGAATCCCACCAATGATGTATCCGGAGCAAGATTGCCATACATGCTCAACATGACCGACTTCTAGTACTGGCATGAGGTGAGTTATAGTTCACCTGGAACCTTATGCATTTTCTTAATGGGACCATTAATTTTTATTTAAAAAAAATACTTTTTTCAAATAACCCTGGCATCACCAGGTACCTTAGCTAGTGTCATTATAAAAATAAGGGACAAATTTAACAAAGGACAAATATACATTTGCAACATTCAGACACATATTTCCCTCTGAATAACAACAACGTTTGTCTGCATGCATTCACATGGGTTCATAAAAGATAGATAGATAGATAGATAGATAGATTAGTTTCAAGCTGTGGATGTTTAAATGTGTGGGTACAGATACCCCTACTAAACTGCGTATGTGGAAAACTTTCCCTCAACTTTGCCTCACTGCCTGCGAAAGGTACCATAAATGTGGTAAGTAGAAGATATAAGGTATTTTTATATTGCAAGAGACAAGAGAGACAAGTGAAAAGCACTGAAATCTTGAGCAAGTTGTTCTCAAGTTAAAAACAAAGACATGTTACAAATGTGAGAAGCTCAGATGTTCACAGTCAATGGTGACTGTGAAATGGATTTTAGAACCCCTTTGAAAAAAATATATTTGCTTTGCTTTCCAGGTACTTTTCAGATATGTTATGAATTTGCAGCCATTATACCTCAGGAAGACATACAGGATAAAACTTGTTGTCATTGTATGGGATTAAGTGGAGAGTGGAATGGAGTTTGACTATAATACTACAGACCAATTCAGACACTGCGGTCATCAGAGGAAGCCCTGCTCTCAGTCCCATCCTCATATCAAGCTCGACTGATGGGAATGAGAGAAAGAGCCTTCTCCGTTCTTGGCAGAAAAAATCCTGAGTTAATGGCCTGTTGGATGTCTAAGAGCCCAAGCTGACAGATTTGATTTTTGTCACTATTTTACCTTTAACTATTAAAGTCCTAATGCAAAACTATCTGCCCCACAAACTTCACCCTCAGTCTCTTAAGTTTGCACAGGCAGTTTTCTCATCTGGGGAATACAAACAAACTATGGAACATTGCATCATTAGGTCTTCCATTTTCTCTTACTGAAATTAAACCTTTGGGAACAATGAGAATGCTGCAAAGAGCTTTTGAAATGTATTTCTGCTTCTGTGATGTCCCTTGCTCCTTCAAACCTCAGGTAACACTGGAGCATAAGTGTGTAGCTATTTTCTCTACCTGCACATCTTCTTTTTTGAATAGGCTATTATTTGAAGAAAGGAACAAGGGTGAGTAACTAGTAGATACATATTACTTTGGACTGTCTTCATTAGTACAGCAGTTTGGAGCTCTTTAAAAGAAAAGTTATATGTCAGTTACTACATAAGATGGCTCTTTGAGTATGGAATATTTGATATTTCCATACTGAGGAGATGTTTAAAAAGATTATGAGATAGAAGAGTCCAGTTCTCCATCTGCAATTAAATTAACATAACAGCAATTGGTTTGAAGCTACTTATTTCAAATTCTTACTAGTGACTATTGAAAATGTTAGATTTTTTTTCTCTCAGATTTGAAAAAGACATTAGTTTAACAAAGGATGACATTAAAGTACAGAAATACTTCCTTCCTAACACTTAACATTAGAGAACAAAGAAATTCAACAGAAAGTGTCAATGAAGACATAGCATCAGAAAGTTAGCTACAAAAATAATACTAGAAAAGCTTTAAACTTTAAGATTATCACCACATTATTATGTTTTCAGATCTTTAGAAGATCTTTATAGATATAGAATATAGTGATAGATTGGAAATTGATACTATTCTGTTACATCACATTAGTGTGATGTTCAGGTAAACAAGGGATTCTCAAACTGTTTAAGCAGAGGTCTGGTTTGTGGTCCATCAGACTGTTTGGGGAAAGGGGGACTATAGCGGGGAAAAACATGAACAAATTCCTATGCACACTGCAAATATCTTACTTGTAGTGCAAGGAAAACATGAAAAAATATTTAAAATGAAGAACAATTTTAACAAACAAAATTCCAGTATTTCAGTGACCCTGCTTTTGGCTGATGTAATAGTTAAGTTAATTAGGATTGTTGCTGTGGTGTGCCTTCACGTTCTTTCAGACTTAAGGCTATTCTAAGTCTAAAGTTTATGGCGGGTGTGGGTAAATGACCTTGGAGGGCTGTATCTGAGCCACTGGACTTAGTTTAACTTTTTGTTTCACATTTGGTAGTTTAAAATACATAATTTTAATTCAATGTGAATGCAACATGGAACACCTACTGGAGAAATGGTAATCTCTGTCCCCCGAAATAAAATCAAGACCCCTTGATTTAATATAAGGAGGAAAGGAAAGTTAAGCCACACAAGTAACCAGACTACACTGTGTGGTTGGAGATTGGAGTGAACTATACAAAATTATTATCCAAAATACTAAAACAGTGGCACCCAGAGAACTATTCTAACTATTCTTGTGGCGTTTAACAGCCACAAGAAACTAGTAGAGAGATTTTAGCAATGTAAGTCCATTTGATTTTCACAAGTCCATTCTAAGTATAACTAAATCTAGTATAAATGTCATTTATTTATAATTATTTAATTAGTAGATTTAAAAACCTCTTTATTTCAAACAGAAATTAGGAAATCCTTTTCTATCATGAGTTGAGCACATCTAAGTGCACAAAATTCCAGTGAGTAAAAGCAAACTGTACAAGGTGTAGAGCAGGTATCCTCAAACTGTCACCCTCCTGCTTTTTTGGATTCTAACTCCCAGAAGTCCTAGCTAGCTTATCAATGGTCAGGTCTGGGAGATGGAGGACCAAACAGCTGGAAGACCACAGTTTGAGGATGCCTGTTGTAGAGTCTATCTGTTTATTTATAGAAAAACTCAAAATGTACTTTTCACTTAGAAGAGAGC